GCCGGCGGGGCCCCCCCCGCTTCCCCCCAAGCGGAGCCCCTTCCCCGGAGCCCCGCCGGAGAGGGGAAGTTTGTGGGGAGACTGTCCCGGCCCGAGGAGGGGGCAGATGCCCGGTGCGCTCGGGTTTCCCGGAGTTGGTGAGCCCTCCTCGCGTGCAAAACCGAATGGCACTTCCAGGGAGAGAAAGTAAAGCGGAGCGTGTTTATTCCGCGTGGGGATTCCGTCCGCCTCCCGCGGCCGCCGTGTGTCAACACACGCGTGGCTGCCGGGGGTGACAGCGGAGGGGGCGTTAGCGTGAGGGCTGGAGCGGGGACGGCGCAGCGGACCCCAGGTGTTTTCTGAGCCGGTGACATTCCCGCTGCTGCGGCCAGAAGACGCTCGGCGGAGCCGCCAGCCTGTGAGTTACAACTTAGAAGTTTCTTGGAGTGTTTTTGAAAACTCTTTGTTGTTTGGTCACCTAAATCGTGCCCTCTTTTCACCACCCCGAACTTCGTTAGCAAGATGTCCTAAAAGTTGCTGTGGTGTGTTTAATTTCACAAAAGTGTAACTTTAGAAGTAAGTTAAATAGAGCAGATTCGCTGGGGCTGCAATCACCATTGGAGCGCATGTTGCTTTTACAGTGTAGGTATGTAAAAATCAAGAAATTATGATTTCTTAAAAAAAATATTTTATCAGGATACTGAGTAAATCATTTTTTTTTATTTTTTATTAACCAGCTTCCTTGAAAACTTTCTTAGGTACTCATCATTTGCCTAAGAGAAGTATTTTAGTTTTCCATTCATTTAATGATTCTGGGTTCTTCTGGGCTGGTTCATGGTAGCATTGTGAACCAGTTGTATTTCCTCTTTTAGAGCTCTTCTTTGCAGTAAAAACTTGCCGCCGCTTGGGAACAGTTCTGTCTCCGGTGTAGCTTGCATTTCTCCAGTCCCATCTTGCAGTAGCAGCATCTGAAAATCAGTTTATAATGAATGGGTCCAAATTGAATTACATTGCTGTAGCAATCCCTTCATATTTGTAGCAGACAACAGCTGTTCAGCTTCTGCAAATATTTCTATGACTGACCACTAGCATATTTCTACGAGTGGTCTGAAAAAAATCTATTTCTGTTTAAACAAAACTTGAATTTTATGGTTCCGGTTTTAATACAATTCTTACAGTATTAGTTAATGTAGAAGTAAGACAAACAACTTTTTAAAAAAATCTGTCGTAAGGAGATTCTTGTCTAATTAAAATGAAATTTGTTAAACAGTGGGAAGGAATAAATAAGTCTCGTGGAATATAAAAGTCTCTAATAAGACTTAAAAACTAATAAAGATTTGAGTTCAATGTTAATTTTATAAAATCAACTAATGTGAAGTGAGAAATGTGATTTAAACGCCCTTTTACTGCAGAACAGATCTTTGCTTGATTAATCTTGCCATGTTTGAGTGAAATGTAGATCATACCAAGCAAGTTCAGCTTTGAAGAGTGTTCTCTGAAACAACTTTTTGGATGGCTTTTTCAGCTTTGCTATTGTTGAATGAGGGTATTGCAAATTTTGTTTTATACAGAGGAAGAAATTAGTAACTAAGACTTAACAAAAAGGTGTGTCCTACTATATACATCTAGCTGTTTCCAAGATAGAGTCCAAAGGATGGCTTTTGAGTAGTTTGGTTACTTGGATGGTCAGATATTTAGTGTGCTGCTAATCACAATGAAATTTATTAGAAAGGATTTTCCATTCTTGCCCACTTTTCCCCCGTTCCTCATAAGATATGTTATCGTGAAAGGGTAAATTAGTGTGGGGGGCCAAGGAGGGAATCACCGAGCAAATTAAACAAGATACAACTTTGTCCCCTGTAACTAGTAGTCTAAGACAGATCTTAAGGCCTTAGATAAAGGAAATAAAGGACTAATGGAATTACACTACAAAGAGTCAAAGGAGTGAAGGCATTTGGTTAGATGGGAAAGTGAGGAGAGACCTGGGAATAACATTCTTGAGAGACTCAACCTTATTTTAGTGAGGAATTGTGTTGTTTGAGGCTTCTAGGAGAAAATTGAGCCAGTAGGAACAAGGTGTGTTCCCTGCTCTGGTGGTGAAATTTGAGGGAGAGGAACTCTGTGCATGGGAAGAGCTGAGGGGTTAGAAGAGCTACTTGGACTGCTGATGCCCTGCATGCATATCTGTGGGGACTGGCCTGTGATGAGTCTGGGGGCTGGCATTTGGCCAAGAGAACAGAACCCCTGCTGTTGGGGAGCGGATCAGCCAAAGCGCTCTGTGACTGGCAGGCACTTGCGGTCTACCAGGAGGTGCGTGGATGTGTATAAAACATTCCACAGTGAAGTAAGGCAGCATCTCCAGGAGATATGCCACTGCCACCGATGGCAGGCAGGAGAGGTCAGGAAAGTCTGAGGAGAGCATGCAGCGGTGATTCGGAAATAGGGAATGCGCCCCAAAGGAGGGCAGAAGAGGAAGAAGCTTAAACACTTTCACACAACTGTAGTCTTCCTTTATTTGGCACCCTTTATAAGAAGTAGGACTTTGTGTTACCAGTATATAGTTAGTTGAGTGTTTTGGAAACTTCTTCATTTAATATGTCCAAATTATAACAGCATATTAGTCTTTTAACAGCAGGGATTCATGATTTCACAGTGTAGGGGAAATAAATATCCAGGCAAGCAGTAGACTTTTTTGGTCAGCTTAACTGAGGCCAAATTTACATACAACAAATAGGTTTTATAAAAAAAAGTTCAATAAGGCTGCCTTCTAAAAATTGAAGATAGATATATCTCATGTGTAAGTGTCCCTGAACAGTCGTGATTACATTTTATGTGAATCCCTGTAAGTGTAATAGAAAACTACATTTAAAGAAAGCTTATGGTAAATACGGCTATCAACCAAAATACTTTTTACAATAAAATTATGATCTTTTTTGTGTGTGCAGTGCTTTATGCATCAGAGTGCTTTTCTCTCCATCATCTCAGTTTGTTCCTCACAGCATCCTATGAGATAGGAAGGGGAGAGACTATTCCTGCTGCTTCTAGGTGAGGCACCATACTTGAGAGAGGTAATCTGCCCAAAATAAGA